AATAACATACAAGGGAACTCCTATAAGGTTATCAGCTGATTTTTCAGCAGAAACTCTACAGGCCAGAAGGGAGTGGCATGATATATTTAAAGTGATGAAAGGAGAAAATTTACAACCAAGAATACTCTATCCAGCAAGGCTCTTGTTCTGATTTGATGGAGAAATCAAAAGCTTCACAGATAAACAAAAGCTAAAAAAATTTAGTACCACCAAACCAGCTTTACAACAAATGTTAAAGCAACTTCTCTAGTCATCAAACCACAAGAAAAGAGATACATGCACTACAGACAAGAGCCAAGACATGGAAGTAACCTAAATGTCCACTGATGGATGACCAGATAAAGAAGTCATGGTGTATATGTATACAATGGAATACTACTCAGCCATAAAAATAATGCCATTTGAAGCAACATGGCTGGACCTGAAGATATTCATACTAAGTAAAGTAAGCCAGAAAGAGAAAGAAAAATACCATATGATAATCATTTATATGTGGAATCTGAAAAAAAAAAAAAGAAAGGACACAAATGAACTTATTTACAAAACAGAGATAGACTCACAGACATAGAAAACAAGCATGGTTATGGGGGGGTGGGAGAGTGATAAATTGGAAGTTTGGGATTTGCAGATACTAACTACTACATATAAAATAGATAAGCAACAAGGACCTACTGTATAGCACAGGGAACTATATTCAATATCTTGCAGTAGCCTCTAATGAGAAAGAATATGAAAAGGAATGTATATATGTATAAGTGAATCACTATGCTGTACAACAGAAACTGATACAACATGGTTAATCAACTATACTTCAATTTAATTAATTAATTATTAAAAAAAAAAGAATTCAGGGAGTCTAGGGTAACTGGAACTTGTGGGGCAGGATTTCAGAAAGTATGAAACCATTCAAGCACTTTGTAGATCTGCATTATGGCTTGCATTTAGTCTTTATTGAATGCTAAGCTGTGTGCATAGGGTGAACTCAACAAGGTCAGATCTTTTACTTGAGGCAAAGAGAAAAAGACTGGGAAAATGACTAGCTCCTCATTGATCTGTGAGACAACATTACATGGTCTAACACATAAATAATTGGGAATGTCTGAGTGGGGAAGGATAGAAGTGAAAAAAAAAAATTCTCAATGTGTTTCAGAATTTTATGAAAACTAACCCCACAGATCCCAAGTTTAATGAACACCAAGCAAGACACAGCCCAAATCTTACCAAATTAACTTACAATTGAATTGCTGAAAAATATAGAAAAGAGAAAACAACAGGGAAGAGTGCACATTAAATATTGAGATAAAGCATAAGAAAACCACAAATGTTATTAGAATTTATGTAAGCCAAAATGGCATCTTTATAGAACTGATTTAAAAAAATTTAAAAAACAACCGTGTCAATGTTAAGTTTTATTTGAAGCAAAAATATCCTTCAAAACTGAAAGCAAAGTGCAAATTTTTTTCCCATAGAAGAAGATCCAAAAAATATTTATCACTAGCAGACTTACAGAAGAAAGTTCTTTGGGTGGAAGAAAAATTACCAGACAGACCTTGCATCCTGGAAAAAAAGAGCTCTGAAAATGATGCATATATGAATGAATATAAAACCCCTAAAATTGTTTTAAAATAATTGACTTTCAAGAAAAATTAATGTATTATGGTATTAATAACATGCAGCGGTAAAATGCACAATAACAACAATAAAAAAAGGAATGAAGTAGCTGCAGTTTTCCTCCTACACCTTTGAGAGACAAATGTTCTACCTGGTCTTCTTCGGGTACTCTAATGTCAAGCATCTTTTCTAAAATGCAAATTTCAGGAAGGTAACTTTTACTGAAAAAACAAAAAGGGGGAAGTTAATTTGGAACTTGACGTTTCAAGGACAAATACAAACTTTAAGTGTCTTATCTATAAATATTAGAAAGGGTTTCTCCCTCTAAAGAGGTGACGTTGATTTGTTCCATCTGCTAGAAACTCAGTTTGAATCCAGCCTCTTCTGATGGGTTTTATATTATTGTAACTGATTCATGGCTGAATTTTTTAATGGAAATGACGGGATGTCTGTTTGTGTCTGTGTGTTGTAGAGATGTGGTATTGCCAAAATTTGTAAAAGAGCTCTATTCAGTTGGCTTAAAGGAAATTAAGTGTTCATATAAAGACTTAGAAATATTTAAAAAACTACGCTAAATGAATTTCAGATCACATGATCTAGGACTAGTAGATTAGATGAAACAGATTTCACTTTAATGAATGAAAACAAGTTTAAGTTTAATTAACACAGACATGTCATTAGGGTAGTCAACATTAAGTATAATACTTTTATTGTACCTAGGTTTGCTAGAAATCAAATGAGATCTTATTATTCCTGTTACAAAATTTGTCAGCAAGAAAAATAACTTGATATGATGAAACTTTTAAGTAAATTAAATGTAAATGAGACAAAAGTTTTAGGTGAACTAATTAGGAATAATTACATTTTGGATATGTCTATCTAAAAATAGTTTCTCCAGATTGTTTTGTAACTTGAAACTTGTAAATGAAGGGAATTCATTGACTATCCAGACCATTTCCAAATAAGATCCTGGAACATTAATTATTGACATATGCTTTCTTTTACAGAGAAACTAAAGACATTTAAGACTATTAATAAGTATGTTTGGTGCCACACTGAGGCATTTTCTTTAAGGAAGCATCTGTTTTTAGAAATTACAAATAGTATTTATAAATTTGCCTATGTATGATGGGGAGGGGTATAGCTCACTAGTAGAGTGCCTGCTAGCATGCACAAAGTCCTGGGTTCAATCCCCAATACCTCCATTAAAAAATAATAAATGAAAAAGAATATAAAAACAAATATATGTATGTATATGCATGACTGGGACATTGTGCAGTACACCAGAAATGGACACATTGTAATTGACTGTACCTCAATTTAAAAAAATTTTTTAAATCTAATAAATAAATAAATAAACCTAATTACCCTCAAAATAAACTTGCCTATCTACAAAATGATAATGTGAAATTTCATAATTGCTTACTTCTTAGTTTTCACTAGAAACTAAGGTTTTTAAGGTTAAGAGTTATAATTAAAATGTGTAATTAAAACTACTAAAAATTAACAAGAAAAACATCTTTGTCTGCAAAGAAAAAGAAGGCATGAGGATGGAAATGCATTTTGTTAAGGGAAAGGAATTTTGTCCTAAAGCTGGTTATTTCTACCTGGGAAAGAAAATAAGGGACAAATTAATATGGATATAGAAGGTTGTAGAAGGTTGTGAGAAAAAAAAATCTTTAGAAAGGTCTACGTGTGGTCAGGACTGATAAAGATTAGAATTAATTTAACTGAGTAAATGAACTTTAATACTAAAGGTAAAGTGGTTCAATGCCTGAATTTGGTTTTCTCTCTGTTAACTATTTTCTTAAGATAGTTATTGGTTTTTGATAACTGATTATAAAGTTTCTTTACCTTTATTTGGTAAGCTGTTACAACTTTCAGTATTTGCTTTTGAAATCTTTTATTGTCACTTTGGTAAGTGAGTAAGTATAGTTTCACAATGACAGAAGCATCTGAGAGAGACTTATTAAACTAGGCTTATTTTGTATGTTAAATTACATGGGAAGCATTGTCAAAGGAGTGGTGATAAAACTTCTTAGATTATATTATGAATGTTATTAATACAGAAATTCTAGAAATTATATGGAATTCCTAAAAAACCTGATACACCCTAGTAACATATTATCAGTCATAAGTCTAGTAATTATCTTAAACTGCTGTATGTCACAGCAGTATCCACGTATCTTTGTCAATTGCGTTGCAGTCAGATTTTCAACTGTGCCTTTTAAATTCTTTTGTCATTTATAGACAGTCATTGTTTTACTCTGATGCTTTTGCAAAAAACACTTCATCTTTAAGAGAAGTAATAGGAAGACTTTTTGACAAGTACAGATTTCTGATGATTTTCAGATCATACCACTGAACTGGGTAAGAAATTTAAAAATTGTAATGGAAAACTTGATGGTTTCATAAAACTGTCAACAGAAGACTAAAATCAAGAACCTAGCATGCTCACATCAATTTTCCAATATCTCCAGTTGGTCGTGATATTTATTAACTCATATGCTAACTCATATTTATAGGTGCTAAGTTGACATCTATATAAATGCCCAGGTGATATTTATGCCTAGTAACATTTGAGAAGCATTTAATTAAAATATTGCTAAACAAATCAAACATTATTATTACTCTTGGATAAATAAATGAATCCAAAGCACCAGAAACTAAGGGAATCTCAACTAAGTGCCATATTCATGAGGCTCAATTCTAAAACGCAGTAATGGATTTTTACATTCTGTCCTATCAACTGGAACAGTACTGAGAGGCACTTAAAGGTAAGGGTGCTAAGAGGAGGGTATAGTTTAGAGATAGTGTGTTCTTAGCATCCAGGAGGTCCTGGTTCAATGCCCAATACCTCCATTAAAATAAATAAATTAACCTAATAACCTCCCCCAAAAAGACAAACAAGCAAAAGAAAAACATCATAATAAACAAAAAATTAAAAAAGGGAAAAGTGCTAACCTCAACTTGAAATTTTGGCTTGAATTTCTTGGAGGTCGGAGTACCTTCTCTCAAAAGAGGTAGCAGCATAAACTATCCAGAGTCGTATCACTCATTTATAAAGGGCCAGGCGGTGAGAGCCCGGAAGAGCTCTGGAGGTCAGAGCCAGCTGTTCCATCCCTCTGTAAGCAGCCCGCAGCAGGTGCTTCCTGACACGGAGTCCTGGTCAGCACCTGAGCCTCTGCAAGTCAGGATGGGGTATTGCCTCCGGGGAGCGAAGGCGAGTTAAGGGGCGGGGTGGCGCGGTGGGGCGTGGCACCCCCGGGGGGCGGAGCCGAGCCCCGGGGGCGAGGCGGGGCGGGCGGAGCCGAGGCAGGGTGGGGGTGGGGCGCTGCCGCAGAGGGGCGGGGCGGAGCGCAGCTGCTCGGTAGCCCGGCCGCCGGGTGGGGGCGGAGCGAGCACAGCTGACTGGGACGCGCGGCTGACCGCGCAGTTCGCAGTTCGCCGTTCGCCGGGCCTGGTCTGGGGCGAGCGCGGGAAGGGACCACCCCGCTACCGCGGCCGCGACCCCCATGGGGATGTGCTATCCCTGTCCCACGGAGGCCGAGCCTCCCTCGCCAGACCTGGTGAGTAAGGCCGCCTCCCCGCGTCCCTGTGTCCGCCGGCCCGCGTCGCGCGCACCTGTTCCCGGAGTGGCGCGCGGGGAGGCCCCGAGCTGCGGGCGCCCGGACGGGCGGTTGACGCGGTGGCGCGGGCCGCACAGCCTGTGCGAGGGGCACCCTGGTGGCGGAGACGGGTGGACACGCTCCCAGGGACCTTGAGGTCCTGCCAGCGGGACCGGAGCAGCTGCCTCCGCGTGGGTCCGTCCACTTCCGTTAGAAACAAATTGTTGAAAGGCGGCTCCAGGGTCCTTTTACCTGTCGCTGGCTGGCGACATCGGGAGTTCGTGGGACGCAGGCGTACGCGGACGGCGCGGTGTGGAGGCCATTCCCGGCGATGCGGTAGATGGAGTTAGGGGGCAAGAAGAGATTCCGTGAACTGGCGTGTTTCATGTTCTAGGAGATGTGCATTTTCCTGTGTCTGTACCAGCTGCTCAGAGAAGGTGCTTAGTAAAGTCTCGAACACTCCGCTTAATTGGACATTGTACTGATCAATGATTCCCCTTTAGTATTTATCTTTCTTTTCGTTTTTTTAAAATAATATCTTATGTAGTGCAGAACGTACGATTTGTAACATTGTCACGTTAGCAAATAAAAATACAGGGTGCCCAGTTAAATTTGAATTTTCAGATAAACAAGAAATACCTTTTAAAAATACGTAGACTTACCCCATGCAATAGTTGAGACGTACTGTAAGTTATTGGTTGTTTAGCTGGATAATTTCAGATTTAACTAGGTGATTTGTGGTATAATACATTTATACTTTTTGTAGTTTTCTCTTTTTAACAGTATTTTTACATTAGTAGTTCATACAGGAAGTTGATAACAGAAAACCTAAATTCCTCTCTTCTCCTTTCCAGCTAAAAATTCGTTGAAGGAAATGAATTGTTTAGGGAAGTACATTAACTCTTCAGCCATTTGATCATAAGTTCTCAAAATTACCTGCAGGTTGATATGGGAAAGTTCAGCTTGTCTTTCTTGCTACTGTTCCTTTGGAATATTCTTAATTTTGTTTATATGGCTGTTGATAAAATACCAGTCTGCCAGCGTTTGTTAACCTCTTCCCACACCCTACAGATAACCACATGGCTCACTACTTGAATGTCACTTTGTCTTTGAGGCTTTTCTTCCCCACCGTAAATAAAATAGAGCCTCCACTCTCCCACTCACCTATCCTTCCATTTCTTTTCCCTCATCCTCTTCTTTTTGTTTCTCCAAAGCTCTTAACTTCTGTCTGACAGATGTATTCATTTGATTATATCTGACTATTTGTCCTCATTGAAATGTAAATTCCAAATGGGTGGAAACATTTATCTGTGTTTTTTCTCTGCCATATCCTCAGCACCTAGAAAATTTCCTGAGGCGTGACAGTTGTTCAATAAGTATTTGTCCAATGAACGAATGAGCAAAGGAACATATTGTGGTATGGGAAACAAGAGAATGATCAGTACAGCTCCCAGGAGAATGCTCCTTACTGTCTTAGATATTTAAAGAGTGTATAACTTATGGTTATGAAAAGTAGTAATACATGATACAGAAAAATTATAGTCACTGTTTCCCAACAAGAAACAGTGCATCTCATAAATTTCCTCCAGTCCTTCCTGTCCTACATGGTGAGGTTTGTCCATTTCATTCATGAAGTTTTCCTGAAAACACCAGCCCACTTCAAACTCCTTTTTGACTGGCAGTATCAAACCATGTTATTTCCCTGCTTGTATTATTAAATGTCATTTGTTTTATTATTGTCCTGACCAGCTTGTAAGCCCTTTAAAAAAAAAAGCATAGATTATTTTATTGGCCAATATATATGTGCGTGTGTGTATATATATATATACACATGAGATGAACTGTATATATGTGATATATATACATGTCTCATCATGTGCTTATTTGAAGGTATACTGATTGGGAGAACTAAATTCAGAAAATTGAGTGTTTTATAAATATTTTAAATAATGGCATTCTTAGTGGGACATTTTGGGCCAGTAGTTAATATTTTTGTAAACTGTTATATTACCTATAATAAAAGTGTGTAAATTATCAAGGAAAATGTTTGGTTTTATTTTAAAACATTTTTTACACATTTTTCCTAGGAAGAGAAAAGAGCAAAGCTTGCAGAGGCTGCAGAGAGAAGACAGAAGGAGGTGAGAATAAGAATAAAATTCTACCTTAGATAATTAAATTTGTACTTTTTTCCCTTATAGATGTCTATTACTAGTAGTATTCGCTAATGAAAATGGTATTTGATATCCTATAAATTAAAATTGAAGGTAAACATTTTTCAAAATTATTTCTGTGTTGCTCTAAATTACATTAATGCATTTATATCATTTATGGTATGAAAATCACCATACACATGTCTTCTGTAATGTGAGATGCCCCTTTAATAACATTCCTCCTTGGGATGAAATGACAGTGCCTACAAAACACTGACAGATGTGAAGTAACTTTTGGGGAGAAATTTGTATGGTTGCAAAATACCCTATGAAGAAATGAAAATATATTTCATGTAAAGCTGTTATAGAAATAGTCTAATTCTTTGTTACCAAAAATAGGCCAAAGCTCCCACCTCCAAAGAAAAACCTAACAAGGAACGAACAAACAAAGCACACCTACTGGACACTGGAAACTGATTTTTGTTATTTTTCTACATTTCTTAACAATTTTTTTGAAGGCTGCATCTCGGGGCATTTTGAATGTTCAGTCTGTGGAAGAAAAGAGAAAGAAAAAGGAAAAAATGGAAAAACAAATTGCTACATCTGGACCCCCACCAGAAGGCGGACTTAGAGTAAGTACTTAAATTTACTATACTGGGAATTTTTAAAAACTTAAGTAGCAACCCATTCAGAAATTTCCTCAGGAAATGGATTATCTTAAAATTGTGAACTCATTTTAAAGCATGAATAATACAGATTGGAAGAAGTGTCAATTTATTTGGACATTCCAGTGTTCATTGGAATAGATTTGCTTTTTCCCCAAACTGAAAAGAGACTTTCCTTGATTCTCTTAACTGTGTATCGTAATACTTCATACTTATGTAATTGATGACAATCTTAAAGGTGTAGAAAATTAAGCAATATGGAATAATATAAAGCAGAAAATAAAAAATGACCCAAATTCAGTGTCATTTTGACACTGTCATTTCTAATCTCATACATCAGTCTTACTAAATTGGATTACACTACAACCTCCACTTTTTTCACTCAATGATTTGAGATTTTTGAGCTTCCCATTGTCACACATTATCACAGTTATGTAAATGTTAATTTGGGCAATAGGGTATACAGTGGTGAGTCTGATATATTCCCCTCCCAACTGTAGCAGTTGTCGCTCTTGACACGAGAAGTACAGTGATGGGCAAGTTAAACAAGGGCCCTGAACTTGGGCATCTTTACAGTCTAGCAGGACTATAAAGGTTTAATTTTGTAAGTTAAAGCTCAGGAAAATAATGGTTCAGATATTAAAATTTTCTTCGTTGGTCCATTTTTTTTAAAAAATTGAAATGAATTGAATTCCTTTACAGTGTTGTGTTAGTTTCTGGTGTACAGCAAAGTGATTCAGTTATTATATTGAATGTAGTTCCCTGTGCTACACAGCAGGACCTTGTTGCTAATCTATTTTATATACAGTAGTTTGTTTATCCCTCCCCCACACCTTTTCCTCTTTGGTAACCATAGTTTTGTTTTCTGTGTCTGTGAGTCTGTTTCTGTTTTCTAAATAAGTTTATTTGTATCATGTTTTCAATTCCACATATAAGTGATATCATGAGATACTTGTCTTTCTCTGACTTCACTTAGTGTGATATTCTCTAGATCTATCCATGTTGCTGCAAATAGCATTATTTCATTCTTTTTTGTGGCTGAGTAGTATTCCACTGTATATAAATATTGGGTCTACTTTTAAAGGAGATACATTTCTCACGTGTATTTGTGAAAAGGGAAATGTCTTGAATTTGTCATTTAAATTTAACTTCTCAGTTATGAGATTTATGAGCACTTGTTTAGCTGTTTCACTGTCTTCTCAATTCAGTTTGGTTTTTGTTCTTAAAACTCTGTATAAATATGTTTAGGTGTGTACACCCCTAACTTGTTGGGGAGGCAGTTGAGGAGCAGAAGTGATTCTGGCTCAGGAATACCCCATGGAAATAAGATTTTTTTCTGTGTATATTTTATCATTGCATGTTACTTCATCTAGTTTCATTTACTAGATAAAAGTAAAAGAAAATAGTGTTTTGTTGTTAACTTTTAACAATGTGTAAAATAGCTGCTTTCAAAATTAAGGTAAATGGCTGTGACCATTGTGTTTATGTTTTATATGTATATACATATATAAAACTTTTTTTAAAGCTTGAGACAATCTTGGCTAAGAATTAAAATGAGAAAGCATAACTTAAAGAAACTGACCAATAGATAAAGGCAAAAGTGAATTTATAGTTGGAGAAAACTGTATGTATAAATACATCCCCATAATAGAATAGATTAAATGTAAAGTAAAACAGTTGGGAGATACAAAGTCAAATATTTATCAGAAGTATAGCTTTCAATATTCTGTTGAGATAAAGATCTATGTGACCAGGTTTACTTCATATAGAATTCTCAAAAACAAAACATTTGTGAAAATTAAATTATGGGACTGAAAAGGATGCTGAGGTCAACTCTTTCATAGTAAAAGAAATGGAAGTTCTGAATGACTTAAAGTCACATATAATGTTAGAAAAAAGCACACTTCATATGTATATATAGTAAGAATTAAGAAGGTACTTATTTTACATGTTCTAAGCCAAAAAATTTAGCATCAGTTTTTAAACTAAGAGAGAAAGGGGCTTTCTTTGTTAAACCTGAAGCCTGCAGATTAAAAATAAACTAGGTCTTATATTGCTTCTGGTCCCTTCAGAAGTGCTCTAAATGAAAAACTTCTCAATGTTAAATTTAGTAACTTTTTTTCCTTGACCACCTGCATTGCTCATCGAGAGCATACAGTGAAGTTCAAAATGAATTTTTGGAGGCTGGGGATAGCAAAAAGGAAAATACAAGACAGAGAGTAACTTTAATCATCAAACCGTTTGGCTTACAGTCCCGTGAGGGCCGCGGTCAGGCCCGGAGTATTCTATAGTGTAGCTCAGTTCTTCCTAACCAGACTGACTCCATGGTATACGGAAAACTTGTCCTTCCCTGTCTTCATGGCCTCCTCGCGTACATCTGACTAGCTCTGTCTCCGGCCAGGACAGTTGGCATTGGCAGTGCTCACTGTCTTCTGGAAAGGCAGCCTTGTTTTAAGATGTCAGTGTGATGATGGCATCAGGACACAAATTGGCATCAAATCAGGATGTACAGCGCAAGAGCAGTGGCAGACCTCCAGCGCAGTGGCTCTCAACTGTGGCTGCACGCTGGGTGCTCATGGGGAGCTTTCAGAAAGGCTGAACCTCGGGGCTGACCTCACACCAGTCGGAATCCCTCAGAGCCCGGCTTAGCCTTTGGGGTTTTTAAGCTCCCCGAGGTAATCTGATGTCAAACCTGACTGAGAATTACTGCTCTAGTGTTTGTAATGCTCAGTCCTAAGAGATATTTTGTGAGAAATTGAGTCTTGTGGTAAAAATTTTTTTACAATCCTGAATACTCTGTTATATACTAACTCTCCTTCTTGGAGATTAAAAAGGGCACAGCATGTAAGTCTCTAAGAAGTCCTAAAATAAAGAGAAGCAAGTTTACTTGGATTAACCTTTAACTTTCAAACTTTATTTAAATATAGATTTTTAAGAAATATGTAATACCCAGTAATATTCCTTGAATGTACTTAGAAAATGCTACTCAAGAGACTAGCAGGTATCTCTGGTACTACCCCAGTGGTTTTTTCAGAACTTGCTGTTACAGATTTAATAAACGTGTTTAAACAGAACACCAAATGGAATAGTTTCTCATATCAAGCAAAGACTTTTCCAAACCATTATTTAATAATTTCTATCATTTCTTTACTCTGTGCCTCAAACAAGAATTTCATTATTTTTATTTTGTAGTTTCACTGTTAACCTTTGTCTTGAGATATTTGGTTTTGTTTTTCCTTTACTGATTATTGGATATTTGGAATCTAGTTCTCATTAATCTGCCCGGATATTTTGTTCTCTTCTTTATATTTTTAAACCATTATATATCTTATATCAGACTTTTGACTATAATGTCAAGTTTTACTAATTGCTGCTATTGACAGAGATCATTTTGCATTTGTATAGCCCATATTCCCCTCTTAGTTTGTTTACTGGAATATTGTTACATAACCTTAAATAAAATTTACTTTTCTCTGTGTTTTTTTTCCTCTGTATATTTTTCTTTTCCAGTGGACAGTTTCATAAAGCATAAAATGAGTGGAAGAGTGTACTGCCAGGAACTAAAATCTGCAATCAAGTGGACATCCTCAATTTAATTTCTTCTCTTTGAATAAATGAAGATTCAGACTTTATAATTTTGGTGCCCTTGAATGCAGTGCTTTTTCATAATTGAAATATTGAAAATGCTGTTGATTTTCAGACTTAGAAAATGGCCAGATCTTTCTTTAAATATCTGTTTCTCTGCATTTACTCTTCTGCCAATAGGTGATTTGCCAATTTTTAGTAGTTAAAACGTGGACCTAAATAGTGAATATATATTTGTATATTGCATGTGGAAATTCTGCATACATCTCAAGTATTAAGGTTTGCAATTGTGTTTTCCCTTCTTTTTAAAATAATCTAGCCATCTATAGTTTGCCAGTTAACCTTACATCTCTTTATTTCCTTATATATGAAGACTTTTGCTTAAACTTACGGATTTAGTGCCTTTAAACTGAAAATCGTCAGGGAAAATCTTGAAAAATCATGTGAAGGGCTTAGTGAAGGAATACAATAAATTTTTATAACTTACTAAGAAATGAAAATTTGTAGAAAATGTTGAATTTCTCCTAATTTATTTTCTACTTCTGTAGCTTATAAAATTAACATACTGTGTTTTACATTATAATCGAGGTTTTTGCTGCTGTTGTTGTTTTTTTTGCTTGCTGAATTTAACATTGTATATTAGTGGTACCATCAGAGGGCAGTGATGTACTATTACACAATATCAGATTCAGCTCTACAAAGATCTTTGTAGTAAATGAATGAGTTAAACTAAGAATCTGGATGGGTTGTACTTAATGGTAATGTATTTTTCCAGATTTCATAGGCGTTTTTATTCTTTTTGTATTTATTAAAGGATGATCATAATATTTATACAGATGTGAAATTGCCAAGGCAAGTATGAATGTATGAAAAAGAAACGTGTAAGTACTATATTTAAAAAGATCTACTTTAAACTTAAAAAATGTTATAAAGTAATTCTATATGATGCATTGTCATAAACTTTTTAGATTTTTGTTCATGAGTAACATGTTTTATAGCAATTTCAGTTTTTGAGTTTTTTTGTATATAATAAGCGAAAATGGAAGAATTACTGTATCTTTTAATTTGGTTGCTTTTTTGGATGATAAGGCTAAACCCTAAATTAGAATTTGCAGATATAAAGTGCAATAGAGACTGTAAATTAAACAGACCAGCTCATTTGATTTTTTTTGCAAGAAGAAACTGAACAACTATCTCACTTACCCCTCCCACAAGAGTTGTGTTATATTGAAGTATATTGTCTATGTTAATTTTGGAGAGTTTGAACTATAATGTAGAACTCTTGACTCCTCATTGGAAAAATCACTTTCTTCTACCATGGAATGAAATATTCTATGAATATCCAGGCAAGAAGTATAGTTAGAGACAGGTTCAGTTTTCTTCATCCTTTAGAAGATCAGTGGTATTTTTGTTTGTATAGTGAAATCATTAAATTATATTTTAGAAATAAAAGTTTTGACTTTATTATACAGTTAAGTTTTCCAAGGCAAAAAGGGAAGAGGACCATTAATAGATGAATGGATATAGAACCAGAGCCTGTCATCCTAGAACTGTGCAGGTTTTTTCCTTCCAGTTTAATGTAGAAAGAACAGTTTTATCTGTACTGCATCTTAGAGAGTGACAGTTTGGGTTGGTGTAAATAAGAAGTTTATATCCAGGGGATGATGTCCTATTTCTAATAGTTTATATCCAAATGCCATGCTTATTTACTGTTGATCCAAGAACGTTATGCTGGTGTAGTGCTTTCTAGGAACAGTGGGATATGCCGTTTCCGGCCATGCCCTGCCTCCCTGGGTGTTAACGGCTTCCTCCAAAACCACGCGGGTTGCTTGGGCTAAGGGGCTGTACTCAAAAGTTAGGAAGAGGAAGGAGTAATGGGAGACTTGATCCCTGATAGGAAACTAATAAGTGACTACTTCAAAACAATGTACACACACACACACACACACATCTCCAGGCATCTTCCTCAAGAGTTATGAATCAGTTCCTGATGAAAACTTTAGCTTAGAGCCAATTTCCTATAATTCATAATTTAAATAGGAAACCATTATAATCCTTAAAATGTCACCCAGACCCCCCAACCAAATTATTAAAATCTAAAACAGTAAAATGCTTATATGTAACAATCATGTTAAGATGTAAAATGCTTAAATCATTGCTTCTTCATTCTAATCATTAAACTATTAACTATGGCTGGTAACAAAAAGTTGTATACTGTCACACAGCCCCTTTGTTGACATGCATGTTGTTTTTTAAACATCTGTATGTGATACTCTTGTTCCACTGATTGTATTTGGAATGTAATTAATAGTTTTCTCACACATGGTTTTATAAATTCTGTATTTTGCCTTACAGGGGTACAAATATACATTTTCCTATATAAAAAAATTGGCTTTGGCCATTTCTGTTTAGCAAAATTTTATCTTCACTATACCTTAAATAATTATAAATAGGCATGTTTCTTTTCCTGTACTCCCAAGGAGATATGCCGTTATTAGTCTCCTGTGTTCTTAGAGAAATATTGTAATAAAGGTTCTAGCTGTCATCCTTGGTACCTCAGAAGAATTGACATAAGCTATGAATTTTCCTTCTCTCCTTCTGCAGTTCAACTTGTTTATTTTCACTGATAAGAATTATGCTACACCCTTAGAAGAAAAAGTACCTCTTGTCAGTTTCAGATTTGAATAATACCTGCATAACCAGGTCAGTAAGAGGTAGGGAGATATGCATACCTATCTGGGTTGACATTTAAGGTGTATTCCTTTAACTCCCCAGGCAAGCATCCCAGATTCCCATGACAGCTGTATGTGCTTTATAGGTTGATTGAGATGTGGTACTCTTTCCTCTGATTTCTTTTTAAAAGCCACTGACACCAGCCATTTGCATATATAGCAGACTTTGAAGAAATTTGGGTTTGATAAGAAGTTCGTTTCCTGACAACTCAAAAGATAAATTTCTCATGTGATCTGACTTTTTATTATCCTGTTTTCCCCCTTCTAGGTATGTTTCATCTTGTAAATATTGCCTCTAAATATGATCATTATGGTCTAAGTACTGAATATTCATGAACTGCTTGACCCGGATGTGATACTTTTACTGTATCCTGAATTGCATTGTCTATTTTTATAGCACCACACTTGGCTTGGGTTGAGTTTCCAGTTAATGTCCTCTAGTCATAAAAACAAGTTTGAGCCATCTTTTGCCGGTACTTCAAACTTGTCTCAAATAGAATTAATTTTGCACACAAACTGGCTCTCTCTAGGCTATTTCTCTGAAATCTCTTTTGTCACATAAGTCAAAAGTCAAGGAGTTTCCTAACTCCTCACTCCACTCCTAAGGTGCCCTTTTTTCATTATACATTTGTTAGATAGTCAGGTTATAAGTACCAGACATACTTTTAAAGTAGGTTAAAAAAAATACCAAGTGTCTTGATGTAGAAAATTCTTAAGGATCTACACAAAAAATGTGTGGAACTAATACATTTACATTTAGCAAGGTTGCATAATACCAAATCTTTATACGGAAAAGATCAATTCTATTTCTATATGCAGGTAATGAACAATCTGAAAATTAAAAGTTCCAAGCATCCAGTATCAGCACATAGGATAAAATACTTAGGACAAAGCAAGAGAAGTAAAAGATCTGAATTAAAAACTACAAAACACTGCTGAGAAATTTTTTAGAATATGAGTGGTCAGACATCGCATGGACTGGAAGATACAATATTGTCACCATGGCATTCTCAAATGGATAATAAATGAAAAATCTCGGCAAGCTTTTTCAGAAGAATTGACAAAATGATCCTAACATTTATATGGGAAATGAAGGATTTATAATAGCCAAAACAATTTTGAAAAAAGAACCTAGTAATTTCCACTAGGGAGTCAGTGAGTAAGCTGTCTACACCTGGTTATTTCCTTCTGAATATAGTCTCGTTTTTCCATATTCTTCTTCAGTGCCATTCACCTCACAGGCAGACCGCAATGTCAATTATGACCATATTCTTAGCGCCACTTAAAAAGACCATCATAGATGTGGTATAAGCAGTAAGAATAATGTCACCTTCCCCCAAAGAGGGTGACATCTTAATTCCTGGAATCTGAGAATATGTTACATTACACGACAAAAGGTATTGACTCAGTTAATGACATTAAAGTAGGGAGAGTATATTGGATTATCCAGGTGGACCCAATCTAACCACATGGATCTTTAAAAAGCCGAGAACCTTTCCAACCTGTGGTCAGAGAGATGTAAAGAAAGCAGCAGCACGTTGAAATGCTCTATAACTTTGAAGACAAAGGAAGTGGGGGCATGGGGGCAGGTGCCAAGGATATCAGGCAGCCTCTGGAAGGTGGAAAAGGCAAAGAAGTGGATTCTCTCCTAGACTCCTCAGAAAGGAACAGAGCACCTGCTGACATACTGATTTTACTCTGTGAGACCATCTCAAACTTCTGACTTACAAAACTGTAACATAATAAATTTGTGTTATTTAAGCTACTGAGTTTCTGGTAATTTGTTACATCAGGAATAGGAAACTGACAAAATAGTAACTAAATTAATGGAATTAATTATTAAAGATAGAAATGTTTATGAGAAAAATTTAAGCACAGGAGAAAGTTTTGATGGAAATATCGCTGACTACCGTACAGAGAAATTCATCATTAATATTAATTTAGGAACATAAAAATCAAATCACTCATTATATTTTAGAAGATATTACATTACTCACTATTTCAAGGTGATTTTATTTCCTACACTATTTTTTTTCCATAATGAATACCACCACTTCCAGCACCACCAAACTATACATATAAAGCCTGTTTTTTATTATTTTTTAAAGTTTGTCTGCTTTGACTAAAATCATCATTATGACAAACTGAGATACTTCTTCCCTGACTTTCTGGGGCAAGAAAAAGTAGATTTTATTGTTGTTGTTGAAAAATGAGGAAATGACAAATTAACTCTGGCTGTACTTTTTATATTCACGGTCACACTGGAGGGACTATTTATGACAAGGTCTACACTCTGCTATGAAGAACTACCACCACCACCACTCAGCTGCCCAAAGTGAAGACGTGCAAGGTAACTAATTTGATTCTTCCTATAACCCTCAGGGGGAGTTGCCACTTGAAGATTATCTTTATTTCAGAATGAAGCATTAATACGAAGACGTACAGTTTTTAACATTTATCTTTTTAATTCTTGAATCAGTAAGGACATGAGTTTGCTGTTTATGGGTACAAAACAGCCCTGTCCTAGGTATACAAGGGTATACAGAAGTCTGTAACATCATTAGCTACAGTGAAATTACTTTACTAGACAGCGTAGCAAAGTTGGGTTAACTAACGATAGAGTCGTACAAGAAAATGCTTTGAAATAACGAAGTCAGTGAACATCTGACTGTACAGTTTACTCTGTCAAAATATAAACGTATATCAACTTAGGTGTGTGAATTACACTCAGTCTCAACACAGCCATGTGCCTAGGATTGTGTGAAACAACTAAGGGGTTCAGTGAAAACTTCCAGAAGTACCCCGGATATTTGGCTATAGACAGGGCTAGATGTTTAAGGCAATCTTCTGAGTGATGTAAACTTTTCTGAAATGGCCTTTCCAGTAAAGTACTGCTGTCGTGACTACTCTGTACTTATCCATAGTGTTGGATATTTTTAGTAGCACACCATAACACTAATTGTCACTTTTTAAAAATTAGCATAAAAATCCTGCAATTTAAAAAAATGTCTCGGTTGCTTTTATTCTGTGGACATTAGGCAGGCACTTTCTGTTGACTTAACTGTAAATCCTAACTATTTCCTTCTAATAATTTTTCTCTGGCTAGAATTGTATTTCTAATACTGTGTTCACATATTGAGCAATAATAATTTGCCTACACTTTGTCTAGTTTAAATTTGAGTTTAGAATTTCTTTTCATAGGTCATTTTCTACAGAAGCATTTAAAATAAATAGTGCTACTTTTTGAACGTGTTTCAGTATGAGGACATTTTTTCTGTCTGTTATGTTTTTTTACCCCAAAGAAATTCTCAGAGCATGTGAACTAGACTGACTACCCTGGAGCTGTGGATACAGGCCATTATGAGAGTCCCCTTGTAGTGACCAACTAGTTTCATTTAATTTCCTTCTTAGCCTTGTAGTTGGCAGAGACCACCAGGTAATTATCTGGATTCATGTCCTTAAGGGTCGGCGATTTGCTTTGGATGGGGGACGTTTTGCCGTCCACGCGGGAGATCTGCAGCATCCGGCAGGGGTCGTGCTTCAGCAGATACCCTGCGAACGTTTCCCATCCTCCTCCCACACGGACCATGACGTGCTTGTTGTGCAGCATCTGGAGAGAAAAGAGAGCAGAAGGGTTAGATTCTGAGAACCCTCACAGGCTCGACCTGCAGCCCTGGCATCCTTAGTGTTTTCTGTTTTATTTTTCGAGCCCCATTGTCCTTCCATTTGTTGCAGCGTCTGAGCTAGCACAGAGCAGATGAGAGAAGCTTTGTTTTCTCCATGCCAGTGGCTCCAGCTTTGCCCTGGGATGGGAATCAGTGCATATACAGTCCCCTGCCTGGTTCAGTGAGCCTGGAGGCTCCTCGCTGACCAGCCTCACCACTGTCCATTTCTTGCTTACTGACTCAGTCCGTGCTTCAATCCCTACCCACCCCCCACCCCCGGCTTAGTCCCCTAGGCACTAGGACTTAAAGGACTGTGGAAATGCCTTCTATTGAATACAATGGTAATAATCACACAAACATTCAATGCAAAATAGAATTAAAAATGCACTCAGAAAAACCGACATCTTCCCCAGTCACTGTCTGAGGCTTTTGAGGAAAGATATTATGGAATGGCCATTCATTTTTTTCTTTACTCTCATTCTTCCTAATTACTTTAGAATACTTTAAAAAACAAAAAAGACAACTTACCCTCAGGTCCACGAACCATCTAGGGCTCCAGGTTAACAAAGCTACAGATCAAAAAAGTGAAGACTATGGTTCTCTCTATCTAGTAAAAACATGTCCAAGGTGAGGACTGGCGCAGGGAGCCAAAGACTTGATCTTGGTTTCTTTCAAATATCAGAAAATGTAAGATTAAGGGGGAATGTTTCATCTTCATCAAAGACCCTGCTGACCTCTGCCCTGCCCGAAACATTGTGTACACACAAAGGCAGCATAATCTCGGGAAGGGACTGTCTGTTTGGGAGGAGGGCTGGGGAAGTAGTTTTCATTGCAGATAGAACCTATGAAACTCTCCTAATTCCTCTGGCTCTGTGCCAGCTTCCGATCTGGATTTCCATGACTACCATCATGTTGGGGATACCTTTGCTCTTACCGCTCTCATTTAGATGTTGAGCTTCTGATGAAACTTTGGGACGGTCTTGTTGTTTCCCCGTATCCACAAAATTCTGTTATGTGTGTTTAGAGGTTTCACAGACTCCCAGAAACCCATCCACAGGCTCAAGCTAAGAAATCCTCAATCGTGTGGTTGACATAAAGCAGTTTTCGAAATCAGATATTGTAAAGTAGTAAAAGTGTGCTGAATAACAGTAATTAAAACTGTTAGACCCATGAGAATTAAATGTAACTCTACTGTTATTCTCATGTAGAGTACTAGAACTTTAGAGTAAAAAGGATCTGGGGGAACACCTTCTAACTAGAAGTCTTCAAAGTTATTTTAGCCTCTACTCACTAAATAAAATCTCAGTGAGAACCCCTGAAATATAAAGCTAAGAGGAGTCAGGATTTCGCCTGTAGCTATTTTGCCTCCCTGGGTCCTGCCAGTGGTACCATGTTCCTGTTTTCTAGGATGAAGAGACTGCGATGTGATTTCCTGACTCCCAGTCTAGTGCCTTTCCCACAACAGTTCCTTCTTATAAAAGTCCATCAAGGCTTTTATAATTTTACTGGCCTGTTCTCATTGCCACAAGTTCCTGGGTGTGCCTCTGTTTCCTGTTTTCAAAACTTGGAGTTACTGGAACAAAAACTACAAAGGCCAGTGTCAAAACAGTACTCTGACTGTTTCTCATTGTTGCAAGAGAGCTGTGTTGCCTATTCTGAAGTTCTGGCCTCTCTTAGCCTTGCAGATTACATCTAAGAGTTGCCTCTAAACATCCTTGTTATGAATGTCTCTGGCAGAACGCTCAAGGTCACATGACTGTGTGGCAACTCCAACCAGAAAGAACCACCAGTCAGAGGAGTTGTTCAACAGCTAACTCTGGAAACAGTGACAGAAATGCTTTTCAGCCTGGAGTATGTGATCATTTAGGTGCAAACGCTGCTTGCAGATTCTTTAATGAATCCATAGGACCAGGTAAAGAGGACCCAACATGAAACAGGGTCACACTGAATGGGACTAACACAGGAATGAAATTTCCACTCACATCATCTTCCATGTCCTTCCTACGGATAATCAGCAACCTGTAATTTGCTAAGAGAGCCAGCGTTCAAACTGGGCAACAATTTCAAGCATGAGATTAAGATACCAGGGTCATAAGCATTTACAGCCCTGGGTGTAGAGACTTGAACTCCATGCCTTTTCCTAATAAGTACTCAGTCTCAAGGGAAAAAAAAAAAAAAAGAATGCGCACCTCCTCCATAAACAAAATCCCTACTGTTTAACCTAAAATCAACCTGCTGTAAGTCCAATTACTCTCAGCTCTTCCTTCCCCTCACAGCACGTACTGTACAAAACCCCAACTGTGGATTCAGTGTATAATCTTTCTAAACCAGGGCTGAGCTGCTGAGCTCTGCTGGAAGGCCTCCTTCTACCTCAGAGATTAGTGACATGAGACTAACTGCAATTAATTGTTCCTTTTACTCTGTGTTTTGGTCAATTCCATTTCTCATTATTCACAAACGCCCTACTCATTTTATTCTCATCTGTCTGTGGGTGACTTTGTCTTTGTCAGGCATGGCTTCCTCTCTCTCGGCACCTCCACTGGCTGGATACTCCAATCTACATTTACCCTCTTCTCTGCTTTTCCCCTCAAGAAAGAAGTCCTTCTGTCCAAGGTCCATTTCTCCTCTTCTTCCTAATTCCCATCACCACTCGTGCAGAACCTAGCTCCATCAAACAGCTCATCCCTCCTCTCTCTCTCCAACTTAGTGTACGATAGTCCTTCCCCTGCCGGTAAGAAACACACCGAAGCCTCCCTCACTCCCGGACACAGCGAAACCCTTCTTTGTCCATCTTAGTCTACTTGGCTCTCATACCTTCTCCTTACATCCAAGTATCCTGGTGGTTAAGTTTACACTCAGTGTCTTCACTTTTAACTTCCTATTTAGGCATCGCTTCTGCTTAACTGCACAAGAAAGAAAATTGGATGGCTTCCAGAACTATCAAATCCAATAGCTGTTCCTTAATCCTTGTCTTAACTGACCATTCAAGTAGGGTATCTGACAGTATTGACACTCCTACCTTGAAACTCCCTACTCCTTTACTCTCTATGACAAGAGTCTCTTTCCTAAGATAGAAAATAAGTTCTATGTATTCTGTTTTTAAGTTTTGCCCTTCCGAAGGATTCTGAAGTTTTCTGTCCTTTCTCTGCCGCTTTCCTCATTCTAACCACTCTCTGTTTGCAACCCGATAGTTTTCACTACCATCTACTTTTGTCTCCCAAACTCTGACTCTAGCTGTTGCCTCCTCCTGGAGCTTCTAAATGCAGAGGCAACCAGTCCTGTACCTTCCACTAGAAGGCCCCACAGGTCTTTCCTCATGGGGTTGGTGACAGGGGCATTCTCTGTACCTACAAGATACCAAAAACATTCATTTCCCCCTAAATGTTTCTCGGGATCTTTGCCGCCACTGCCACTGTTTAGTTCAGGGCCTCACCTTTTCCCTGGTCTACTGTAGGGCTCTCACGACCTCCAGCCTTGCTGTGTCCAATCCATTTAGTAAACTGCCACCAAAGGGAATTCCATAAATGCAGGTTTGATTGTCTCCTGCCTGAATACTTTCAGGCCCTCCCTCTCTCCTGTAGGCTGAGTCCCTTTATGTGCATACAGTACTCTCCATGACCGCTCTTGCCAGCCTCATCCCTTCCCTGAGCCCCAGGACCCATGAATTCTTTTAGTTCTACAGTCCCAGATAACATACTCTTTCTCTCAAGCTTTTGCACATCTGCCCCTAAATGTGCAACGTCCTTTCTGTTCTGCCCTTCCTGCTTCGCAGGACCACAAACCTCCCCCCAGTTCAAACATCACCTCCATCTGAAAAATCTTCCAAGATCCCCTCTCTCATTTAATAAGTGAATTCTTCCTTGACATATGCTGTTAAGTTTACACATGATTTCATTGCTTCACTCATTCTACTGAATCGCAACGGCTAATTTATCTGTATGCCTCTTTTAATAATATGGAAGCTTTCTGAAGAGAGTGATGCATTTTTCATTTTAGAATCTTATGTGTGTGAGCTAAGAACAGTGTCAATGCTGTAATCATATAGTACCCCTTTTCTTGTATACTTTCATATGCTCTAGTTACTCTGCCTAACCTAAGATATGATTATCAGCATTACTCCCATTTTATAGACAGTAAAACTGATGCTCTTAACTTGGGCAAGATCACACAACAAATCAGTGGCAAAACTGGGGCAAGAATCCTTATTTTTTCTGTTATCCCATACAGACTTATTCTATAAAGTGCCTAAGATTTCAATTTTCATACCTGCTTCGTTACTTACAAGTGGTAAGTTCAGCACAGGCAAGGAATCATCAGTGTCAGAAATAGTTACAAGTTGCTTAAGCAGATTAAATGCTCATGTCAAATGATGTATAGTTTTATGTCCTAAAAAACTTTCAATAAACATTGCATTTAATTTCAGAAGATTATCCTCCAGTGGCCCTAAGTATTTAGGAAACAAACAGGTGTCAAGTGCAGGTAACAGGATCAAATACATTTATAGACAGGTGTCTGTTGGCGTCAGTCGCACTGAGCTTTGATTCTCGGTTCAGTGTACATCTTATGGCTCCTTTAGTTTTGATGCTTCACAATACTGAACAAGGCTGTGTTCTCTGTTCCAAAAGAGAATTGCTCTTCTCTAATATCATCAGTACTCATGTGAATTGAGTATTCAGTATAGTTGTCTATCTGTTGGTTGCTTTCTCTCAAGTAAAGGAAAATAAGCCAGAGATGCTACAAATGTTTCCCAACACTGCTCGTTGCAAAGCAGTCGTTTTTGCACCTGAGGCCTCTTCTGACTGTTACTGTTTTCTACAATCGGCCTCATTCCTCACTGTGCCCCGATTCCAACAGAGGGAAGAAGATTCATTACCAACTTAGCAACATCTCTAATGTTGAAGGGGGAAAAAACCAGAACAACAAATATCTCATCTCATTGTTTCTC